TCAAACTTATCCTATATTGGGAATAGAAAACATTGATTTAACTGAAGAATAGAGGAAGGACTTTTTAGTCTTTTAATTCCTGCCACCTCACTTTGTAAACCAAGTTTGTCAAGCCACTTTGTACAAGTAGCATGATCGAAGGTAGGAAGTACATGTAGCATCTTCCTTATTAAAATAAGTGACTTAACCGAGAACACAGCTCTAGGTTCATACATGGCTTAAAATTTTTACAGGTTTTTAATAATTATGACACAATTTGATTAGAAAATCAAGGGCCTTAGAAGCATAAATATTGGGTCTAGTCCTTTATTTAAGCCTAGTACAAAAGCTAGTAAAAATAATTAAAACCATGCATATATAGCAACTACTGGAATAAAAAAAGTAGAAAAATATTAGGATATATGATGTTTGGCTGTGCTTAAAAGTAGCTAATTTTACAGGTAAAGTAGTCGCTTTTAAGCATGACTACGTTGATAGCGTGTATCAAAACTTGTGAATACTCCCGTCTTCTTCTTCTTCTTCATCTTCTTCTTCTTCATCGAATTCCGCAGCCCAAGCTGGTTGCTCGACAGACGAAACAGGTGAATAATCATCGTCTTTCTTGACCAATGATTCCATTTCTCGCTCTTCTTCTTCTTCATCGGAATTAATTTTTAGTGTTTCTTCATCTTCAACATAAGGTACCAGCGTTTCAGTGGATTCATCTTGTTCATGCACTTCTGTTTCTTTAACGTTTGAAGGTACATTTGTTGTTGGCTCCGCTTGGATTTTCACCTCTTCCACTGGAGCAGCATCAACCTGTATAAATATATGCTGTGAATGAGGATTCGTGCATATGATAACAAAACTTGCTAGGCAGAAAAAGTGACAGAACCTGGAGGGAGGCCATGAAGCAATTTGGCAGCAAAGGGTGAATTTAAGTGTTTTCTTAAATCAAATCGGATTGAAGAATGGCAATGAACTAAGAACTATAGGGACCTATATATAGGAATTAGCCAAAGTGAGTCATGTATTATTCCTTGTGTGTTCAACAATCCAACTCTATTATAGAATCTACGAAAGAGATGTACCTCTCTCATAAGTTATTTCAATTTTTGTAAGATCTATGACTATGCTACTTAGAATTTTTACGCTTGCTAAGCATTCCATCGATTACATCATGCCATGATTGAATTCTCGCTCATAGTGGGTATAAGATATCTTACCTACATGTGAGGTGGCAAGACCTGATAGGAATTTTAGACACCATAGGTTTTTCTTTGTGTCTGGGCATTTACAGTAAGGCCATGTTTGATGTTTATTATTTTTCATTCCAAATTCTAACTTTTTTCTTGTTTGATAGTCAATTTTTTCTTGGCAATTGGTTTTCCCCTCAACCCCCACGCGACCCCTTTTTCTAGGTTTTCATTGAATTGGTTTTCCCACCACTTTTGTGGGAAAATGGTTTNCTAGGATTTTGTGGTTCTAATATTATCGACTTGTTTAAGCAAAATGTCTTATACAAGATTTTAACGATACAAATATTTTAATGTGTCTTCTCTTCTTTATTGAGAGATATTTCATGTGAGAAAAAAATGGATAAAATATATTATTCATAAAAAAAATTTGATGATTTGATGGCACTCTCAATAGGCAGCACTATGCACTTTGTACACGAGCTACAACTTGCCTATCCTAAAACGTTAGTTGGGCCCTGTTTGATAGGGCACGTTTTTCATGAAAGATGGAAAACTTTTTACCATTTTTCATTTTTTAGAGTGTTTAATAGGAAACATTTTTCAGGTAATTGGTTTTTCCACATTTTCTTGGTTTGCCACATTTTTTTTTTTTTGAGATAAATCAATTCCCATCACTTCGGTTTTCTAGGCAGCTTCTTTTATTATTATTATTTTTTTTTGGGTAATGAAAACAAATTATATCCCTAATTGTAACAAATTATATCCATTTAATGAACAATTTTCATGGAAAATAAAGTAAAATAAACACCAAAAGATCCAAAATTTCAACATTTTTTAGGTAGAAAATTATTCAATTAAACACAATTAATTGACAATTCCCCGAAAAACAAGTTCTAGACAATTATTTTCTTTGAAATTCGTTTTCTTTTCACCTATTTTCCATTCTTGCAATCAAACGGACCCTAAATCTTTTTTCATTTCAATTTTGCTCATGTATAAGTTTACGTCAGCGATTCTAATGTTATAAATTAAATTCATTCTAAAAATTTCAAGAAAAAGGGGAATGCTGGAAAACGAATAAAGATAAAGTGAGATGTACAAATCAATATACAAAGTGCTTCATTATTGATGATTTATTCACTAAGAACAATTATCCATCCACGTGTCAAGTTCTGAATAGTCAGATTCTCCATTTAGTCTCAAAGTATCGAATATTGTGTGCCCTTGGACAGTATAAAAAGGAACGATCGAGCCCTAATGGGAACCTCTTTTAAGGCTATGCCCTCTGTACACTTGTGGTTGACACCATTTTTGATATTCCGCATGTGTCAAAAATCTAGTCATTGATTGTAAAAAATATTGTTAAAAGAAAAAGTTTGAATGTACAGCATTTTTACACTGTAAGTAAGACATCCATCTCACATGGGTGTGGGGCCCGCGATTGTGGGCCCGCCCCATGTGAGAGGGCTGTCAAAATATATGTGTAAAAATGTTGTAGATGTAGCATTTCTCTTGTTAAAATTAATGTATAAAAATCTGCCAACTCAAATGATGTCAAACTTGATGTAAATAGTCTTTAGTTGTTACTCAAAAATCTATATGCTACTTGTTTGTAATTTCATAACATAACATGGTTGATAGAAAGAAAGTAGAACGCTAAAATAAAATAAAATAAAAAAAAAGAGAGAAGGAATGGTATTCTTAGCTTTGAAGAAGATTTGAGGAGTCAAACTTTTCGTATATAATCGAAATGACATGATAATTAATAAAAGAATAATAAGGTAGAGTTGACGACGATTAGTATCAAGTAATTTCACGACTTTAGATGGAGTTCTAGGGAGCTTGTTTGTCCATTCAAATGGCTACTAGATCAAGGTGGTGTTCAGTTTTACCCTGACGATCAAATTAAAATTTCACATTTTATCTCAACTTGGGAATATAGGTAAGAATAATGCTACATCTCGCATGATAATTTGGTTGGCATCCCCCTATGTAAAGAAAATATATGTTGTGATGTGATATATGAGTTCAAAATCGTAGATATTGCTGGAAGAGTATAAATTATATGTAAGTGTAAATGTAGCTCTTCCTTGCATGTGCATTCCTATTGTATTTCCTTAGCCATTTGCATTCTCTCTTATGTTTTCTCCTTTTGTTAATTACAGCGACACTCACTAACAATTTTTGAAGAGAGGTTTACGCTTCAAGGTGTCAAGTCCTCCCAAATAACAAAGTTGCAAAATAATTTATCAATAATTTACATATAGCAAGGTGGTGCTTGTATACATTCTAATAACTAAGAGTCAGTTTGATTTGAATTTAAGTTTTCAATTTTTGAGTTTATTTTCAATTTTTTATTTTGAAAGTATATTTTAAGATCGCTAAAAACCTGTTTAATTTATCATTCTGAAAAATTGTTAATCAAAATAGAAAATACATTTTTTTAGAATTTTGAGAAAATGGTTTATGACATTTTATTCCATGAAATTTGATTATTTAATAAAATAGAACAATTTTATATTAATATAATATCA